TATATATATATATATATATATATATATACACACACACACACATACACACACACACACACACACATATAATAGACAGTTTGGAAACAAAAAGAAAATAATATACTATTTTTTTCAAAAGAATATTTTCATGATGATAAAAAGAAATATTTTCATGATGATAAGCCTGTAGTATATACAGATAGAATAGCTTTAAAATACAGAAGATAAGATTTGACAAAACCAGATGAAAACATATTTGTGAACTTGGTTGGAGATTTTAACACTGCTCATTAAATAATAGGAAGGGCAAGCAGACCAAAAAGACAGCAAGAAAAGTAAACAATTATGTCAAAAAGTATATAAACAGGATGGGGATTTAGCTCAGTGGTTCCGCCACCTACCTCATAAGTGCAAGGTGCTGGAGTTCAATCCTTAGTATCAAAAAAAAAAAAGTATATAGCCAAGAAGAAATGGACAAATTCCTAGAAACACACGCTATAAAACTGGTTTGGGAAGAAATAGAAAGTCTGATTAGACCTATAACATAAAAAGATACTTAATCAATAATGAAAAAACTCACAAAGAAAAGCCTACAGCCAGATGGCTTCACTGGTGAGTTTTTTAAACATTTTTTAAAAATTAAGATCAAGGACCAGGGATTTAGCTCAGTGGCACCACACCTGCCTTGCAAGCACAAGGTCCTGAGTTCAATTCCTGATACCACAAAAAAAAAAAATAAGATCTGTCCTTTCGAAGTCTCCCTCAAAAGTTGAAGAAGAGGTAACAGTTCCTACCTAAAGCCAGCATTACACAGATACCAATGCCAAACAAAAAAATTGAATGCCATCAATACCTCTTGTGAATACAGATGCAAAAATTCTCAAAAAATCCAACAAACCAAATCTAGTAGCTTATTAAAAGAGTTATACACCATGACCAAGTGGAGTATATTTTAGGAATGCAAGAGTGGTTGGACATACACCACACTAACAGCATGAAGGGGAGGGAAGGACATGAATATCTCAACTGATACAGAAAAAGCATTTCACAAAATCCAACACACTTTCATGATAAAAGCACTCAACAAACTAGGAATAGAAAGGACTGTCCTCAAATGATAAAGAATATTTATGAAATGCCCAAGGTTAATACCATACTCAACAGGGAAAGACTGAAAGTTTTCCTGCTAAGATCAGAAGCAAGGAATAGCAAACAGACAAAGAAAAGCAAGAACACTAAACAATCACACCAAAAAATTATATAACCTTAATAGAATATAACCTATTTCTATTCAACATTGTACTGAGAGTTCTGGTCAGAGCAATTAGGCAAGAAAAAGAAAATATGTCCAAATTAGAAAGAAAGTTATCTCTAGCTGAAGGTGACATAATTTTATATGTAGAAAATCCTAAAGAATCTACAGGGGGGAAAAAAACAAATTCAGCAAAGTTGCAGGATATAAAAATCAATGCAAAAATCTATTATATTTCCATGGACTAGCAATGAATAATCAGAAAATAAAATTAAGAGAACAATTCCATTTGCAAAAGAATAAAATGTTTAGGAATAAATTTAACCAAGGGGTGAATTATTTATATACTCAAAACTACAAGCGATTGCTAAAAAAAAAAAATTAAAGAAGACTTAAATCCACAGAAACGCATTCTGTGTTCATGTTTGGAAGACTATGTTGTTAAGATGGTAACATTCCCTGAATGTCTATAATTTTGTTCATATGACTGCAGAACCTGGAAAAGCTGTTGCTGCTATCGATGCATAACATACTGCTATTATTATTCTTTTTATATAAATATAAATATATATATACATATATATATAAATTGAATTTTGGGAAACTTTAACGGTGCTGCCAATTTTGGAAAAAGCCATCCCAATTTACAGTGTTGAGTTGGCATTGTACAGAAATGGACAGCCATATTGGTCTAGAAACGTTAATTTTTTAATTTTTTTTCCATGTATACAGGGGTAACACATCGTACTAAATATGCAAGGTCATATCTACGTGGGTTTGATTACAGAAACTAATATTCTCTAAATAATGAAAAAAAAAGAATAAGATAAGACTATAAGAGCAAGAAGCAATTTAAATATGTTCAGGGACCATTTTCATCTCCAGAATTAAGGATTATTTCAATGTTACATCATTGCCTTTTCTCTTTTACTTTCCTTTTTAGCTTTATTTAAGGATTCCCTATTTTTAATGTTCATACAGAGATTTATTTAACTGAAATACCGAATAGTTTCTATGGTGTGAAAAACTATAAAAGTACACAGGATCCTAATGAGATAATTAATAATGTGAAACAGAAAGTAAAGGGCTAAAGGTGTAGGGAAAGTGGGAAGGGTGGGGGAAAGGTAATAAGGGAGAGGAAAAAAATATGAGAAACTGAAAAAATGGAAATAAAGTGTTTGTAAATGGGGAGGGGAGGAGGGGGTGAAGGGAGGGCAGGGACAAGGGGAAAAAATGAGAATCAAGACACATTATGTAAAGGTACAGAATCCCAATGATGAATGTAACTGTATTGTATACCTGGATTGTACTAATAAACTCAATAAAAAGAAGAAAAAAAAAAAAGATGGTAACATTC